TAGACATTCTTGCATTTTGTATACTGAGTCAAATTAAAAACTTCACATTTTTAAAGTAATCCAATTTATGATATACAATGGACAAATGTATCAGAGAACGTAATTTTTAATCATTAATGTCCAAAGAAGGATTTTAATTAACGGTGGTAACCATAATTTGTTCCAAGCACGAGAATCTGATTGCACACAAGTTCAGTAGCGTGTATGGCCACCATGTGCGTTGAGAACTGCCACACAACGCCTCCGCATGGACCTTGTGATACTTGTGAACACATGATTGGGAAGACGACGCCATTGTTGCTGCAAAATGGTGCCAAGATCTTGCAAATTCCGTGGTTGGTTCTGGAGAGTGCGCAGACTTCTGCCATGAGCATCCCAGACGTGTTTGATGGGATTGAGGTCGGGAGACCTTGACGGCCAGTCCATGACGTTGACTCCCGCATTCTGAAGGAAATTCCTTGTCAAAATTGCTGTGTGGGGTCTGGCATTGTCGTGTTGGAAGATCAAACCGGGTCCATGTGCTGCCATAAAAGGCAGAAGTTCCGGTACCAGTACCTGGTCGCGGTAAGCAGCAACATTGAGGTTGCCACGGATGACAAAAAGCCTGGAACGTGTATTGCCACAGAAAGCACCCCACACCATGACACTTCCGCCTCGAAATCTGTCAACTTCCTGTACACAACACTGGGCGTAACGTTCATGACGGCGCCTCCACACCCTCGCCCTACCATCAGCAAATCGAAGAATATATCGGGATTCATCACTGAAGACGACTTGATTCCATCGTAAGTGTCGCTGTGCCCACAATTGACGTTGACGTCTGTGTAACTGAGTCAGAATCGGCCCCGCAGTATGGCCGTCGTGCTTGAAGGTGAGCAGTTCTCAGACGGTTTCGAACAGTTTGCGCACTCAGTCTACCCCTAAACAGTTCATTTCTGGTTGATGTAGCTGTCAAAAATTGGTTACAGAGGTGACATAAGACAGTCTGACGATCCTCTGCATGTGACGTCACACGTGGTTGACCTGGCCGAGGGCGATCAGCGGTGGTACCCGTTTGCTGTAGACGCGTCTGTAAATCATAAACAGTCCGTCGACTACAACCCATCCTCTTGCGACTTCAGCTACGGACGTTCCCGTCTGCAACAGGCGGATGCACGTTCGCGTTGCACATTTGAAAGGCGTGGCATGATAAATGGCCGTAAAGACTTTTGTTTTCTTGTGTTTTTCTTTTTTTGTTAATGACTGCTCACAAGTATGGCTGAAAACACGTGCGGTATTATGGCCACGTGACCAGTTGCACGTGAAAAGCCACTTTTACCACTATAGTGCTGTGCACATGATTTTGATCGATTCACCTGGACAAAAACGGGTGTTATCTGAAGACAATACGTGGCCATTACTGTTTAAATACACAATAAGGGCCCACAATAGATGTGTTCTATCCAGATTTCCTTCCAAATAGTCAACCTTGGATATATCTGGTAGCATGTTGTCTTCGTATGCATTCTCCACTAGTATATGTTGGAATATAGACATTTCTGCTCGTATGCCCATGCTCTCCATAGTTGTATATTTCGCTTCTTCCATTTTTGTTCTAGACTATAGTTGGGCACAAATGTTCAATTGGAAATTCTTTGGACACGGTTGTATGCTTTGGACACATCCTATTGCTCTAGTGGAAAAAATATTGTAGGGGGTGCCGAAATCGGGGGGTGGTCAACAAGAAAAAGACGCCCTCTTGACGATCGTTGATTCGCATCATCATTTTTCCATAAAAGATTCCCACTTTAGTGGTGGTATAGATATATAAATCTGGCTCTAGTGGAAGTGGTCCAGAACCCCCATCATCTATACTACTACAAGTTACAGTGCTGGTTGCGGTCTGATAAGTTAACAGTAACCGTCTGAGCTGTGAAGAAAGGATTTCAGTAGATGATTGTCTGGGTTGGATTCCAATTACAGGTAATATACCTGTTGACAGAAAAAACAAAAAATCGTTAAGAATAACATCATAGATATCTGTAATAAATAAAATAAACATTATAGCATTGTTCCATGCTTAAGTTGCAGTCCATAATTAGCCAAGCTAAGCATGTTTAAGAATTTAATGCATAAATGTCGATGTTAACCGTACATCATATTTACTGCCATGAGAAATCTAAATCATCAGTGTTCATTTATAAGTTTACAAAGTGACATCTAAATTTCTATGTTCGATTACATATATCCTTGTCTTATTCGTTATGACTGACCATCTATGTAAATGCCAAGTTTATGTCATTTTCTAACTTGAGTTCAATGTCCCGTCATGAGTGAGTGAGTGAGTTTGGTTTTACGCCGCTTTTAGCAATATTCCAGCAATATCACGGCGGGGGACACCATAAATGGGCTTCACACATTCTACCCATGTCGGGAATCGAACCCGGGTCTTCGGCGTGACGAGCGAACGCTTTAACCACTAGGCTACCCGACCGCCCCTGTCCCGTCATGAAACACATTAGTTTTTTACTCCATTTATTATATGTGTTATCTTTTCATGTTATTTCTTCCTCGTAGTTGAGGCAGTATGTACAATGTGATGTGTATGTGGAGTTCAAGGTGATGCATGTCTTAGAGCACCACTTCTGGGAAACAGATGGGCACAAGGATGGTGCTGAGAAACCTTGAAACATTATCGGGACGAAACGGGGATCGAACTCACCATCATATGAATCTACATACGAATTGGCTCATATGATTCAAACTAAGCATTGTGTATGTGTGTTACAGGAAGTGAACGCGTTTATACTGATGTTGCCTAATGCTGCTTTGGTGATGGTCAGGGCAGATTAGGTCAAACTTATCCATTGCTTGTATACGTTTGCTGCTGAGAGATAGTTTTAAGCCTTCATTTTCACTGTGTTATATCTATACACAAAAAGGTAGCAGTTTCCATTTATGGGTTATTTATGACAGCTGTGAGGCACCAGAAAGTAAACATGTACGTGGAGGTAATAACATCTTGCCTCACAAATAGGCCTATCTGCATACCCCCTCAGATCTTCCCTTTCACACACACATGCACACCTCAATAAACACATATTAAATGAGTACTTCTTTAACCCTTCTACAAAAAAGCATAAGGTAGCTCAGTGTGAATAACATGTGCAAGTTGTTCTGCCATAGGCGTGGGAAACTCAAGTACTTGTATACATTATTGACCTCCTTGCATGGTGCACACGTGAATAATGAACGAGAATTACCGTATTCGACGGAATAAGCGCCCCGCTCTAATAAGCGCCCACGGCGACATTTGCTAAGATATTGGCGAGTGAACAATCCCAATTAGCACTCCTTTCGATTGATCAATGTACACAAGACCTATTGATTCGCGTATAATACGCACTTGTGTGTTATATGCACCCTTAATTATGGGCATTTAATTCTGGAAAAATATATCTGTCGCACATAAACATTTCAGGCTGTCAGCATAAACCACGAAATGTATCTTTCAACTCTGAATTTTTCACCAAAATAACATTCGAATAACAGCCCCCTATTTCTAATTTACGTCGAATATTTCAAAAACGTTGTCGGGGGATATCCATCTGTAACTCATGATAATATGGTGTTCTTTAATATATCAAAGGTTTCGGGATGAGTCTCCAGCGTTTAGAAATACAAGTCACTAGATATTGAGATATATCATCTGAAATACACTGCTGAAAGTAAACTGTAGGTGTTGGTTTCATGTCCGTTTGGTAATATTATTTTAACATTGCTCCTGAACACTTCCGTATGTTAAAGTATCCTATGCATACATTTTTTTACCTTTGTTAATGCAAAAATGTGGTATAAACTCGTATGCAATCCGTTTTTAGTGCACTGTCGAATTGTCGAAAAGCACACCTTTTCCCAGCTTCCTTTCCTCAACTGCCTCAAATGTGCAGTTTATTATACTCCGTTTATTACGTGGGCTTTTGGAAGACCGTCCACCATGATGACATCCTCGACATCCCATAACACTGTGCCTTCTTTGGTGGTGGTGGTGGTGGTGGTGGTGGTGGTGCAAGCGTCAAAGGATTCAACTGTTTAAATTGTTGTTTGGACTCAGTGGTGAACTCAGGTTTCGGTCGTAGTCACAAATCGTTGCAAGAACATTTCTGGATCAGCTTCAATCAGAGCTAGGTTATCACAAGATATGTTGTGCGTGGTGATATGTCAGAAGCTTTGGAATCCAAAGACCGGATACTTTGCCAAGGTTTCTGTGACAATGGAATGTACTCTCTCTTGGCAAATGCCTACTGAACTTATTATATGACGCTCAGTCATTCGCCGTTTAGTCATCGCCATCTCTGGATCATTTTATGGTGTTGCTGACGTGAAGGGGTTTGTCTTCAAGGCTCTCCCCTGCCATGCTTAAACTCAGCCCCCCACCTCTTTACGGTGACATTCTTCCATTGCGTTGTACTCATATCTTCATGGATGTCTTTTGGTATAAAGCCTTTTTTCTGTAAGTACTTGATCACTGCACGTTCCTCAAGTTTGTCCACTTTTCTACCGTCACAGGTCCCTACTTCTATCCAACAAAAGATTTTTGTTTGTTGTTTAACACCGCACTCAGCAATGTTCCAACTCTATGACGGCGGTCTGGACTAGATAATCCAGTGTTTGACATTATGAGCATCGATCTACGCAACTGGGATACGATGACATTCATAAACCAAGTCAGCGAGCCTGACCACCCGATCCCGTTGGTCGCCTCTTACGACAAACATGGGTTGCTGAAGACTGATTCTAACACGGAATCTTCACGGGACGAGTAAGTGAGTGAGTATTTAGCAATATTCCAGCAACACCACGGCGGTGGACATCAGAAATGAGCTCCACACATTGTACCCAGGTGGGGAATCCAACCCGGGTGTTCAGGCGTGACGAACGAACGCAGTAACCACAAGGCCACCCCACCGCCTCCTTGATGGTATAACGATTTAGAGACACGATGACACACAACACAAGCCTTAAGATGGAGTGGTTTATTTCGTGAGACATTAATAGAACACAGCAGTGTATGAAGTGTTTGAATGGAATGTTTGAGGATGCTGTTTGTGCTTGAAACTTTATATTAAAAAAGGGCAACGGCTTTATTTGCTACGTACCAGGGTAAGAAATATATGAATCAATGATCATCTGATCCTGGCGCGAGTAAGGGCATCAACTCTGTAAACACCGTGGCAACTAGACCTGCCATGCCCTGAACAACAATATGTAATGAAAACGGCAAAGTTATGATCTGATCAAATATCAGAGCAGTTTTCGTCAAACAAATGGCACATGATAATTATGTAGTTATCAACAAAGAAAAAAATCAAGAAGCTATTTTTCTATTTTATCACATAATAAATAGTGTTGGATACGATAAACCAATCTGATATATATGCAAATGAGGTCACTGAGTTAAGCAAATTCACAAAATCGATTATTTTGAGAATAACGTTATATGACAAAAAGACTATTAGCCTTCTGTGTTTCTGTTTAAATACTCGCATTATACAATCTTTCTGATATATGATATCTATGATAGGGAAAAACAATTCGGCTAATACTCTCTATTTATCAAACAACTGTATTTCCAGTTACATGGGTTTAACTATACAATACAACCAGGAGGAAGCATGATCAGTGTAAACAACGTCAATTACTGCAGCACACAGAACACAGGACAGAAAAGGTCTTGTTTTTCGGACAGATGCATGAAGCTTTCGTTTGACGATATCTCCGTGAGACACTACTAGTAGTGAGAAACTGGCTACATCTGCCACAAGACTCCCGAGATGGCAGGTCGTGGCTACACAAGGTCCCTACAGCTAGTCCACCTCTGAGCTGGTAGCCTGTATTAAAGCATCGATGACTATCATAGCATCTTTCTCCAAGACATCGATCATGTTATTCAACATATAGTGGGCTGTGGCAAAATTGATGGTTCCACCGACAAGAGCATTCACAAATGGTATAAAACGGGTCATTTCTATGGGGATGCGCTTGATTGCCTCCTCTGTTGCCTCAGACTTGATCATGTTCATTAAGAATGTTTTGACAGACTGACGGGAAGTCATGATGGAGGATCCGTCTTTCAGGGCATCGTGGTAATAGTCCAGCCTTCTATTGGTCCTGGCAGAGAGTTCCTGTAATGATTCATCATCTAGTCCATACTGCTTCAAGTAGAAAGTCACCTCTGTCGCCAGAAGAGCAATATCTAGTGACACACCGATGGCGCCCCCCAGCAGAGGAATTGGTATTAGGGAGGTACATGCTCCTTGGATTCCGGATACCAGTGCCACCTTTGGTGCCCGTGTCTTCAACACCATGGTCTTAGACTTAATGACACCTTTTGTGAGAGGAGACAGTGACAGCACGAGTGTATTCCTCTTTATTTCAGGCAGTGACACCAGGATGTCTTCCATCAATTTGGAGTAGTCCCACTTATGTTTGTCATAGCAGTCGATGCAGTAAACTGGCCTCTTTTTCAGCTGTCCTGCTGTAAAGTTGTCATTGCAATTCTTCTTGATTCGCTCGAGAACCCTACTTTCTGAAAAGTCGCGTTCGCTGTCCTTTGCACTGTCCATGGCATCATTAATCTTTGTCCTGATGAAGAAGTATTCTTTATTCAAAGACTCTATTTCCTGCGCTAACCAGATGTCCTTAGATGTGAACCTGTCATCTGACAGCAGGAGGAAGAAGTCGTATTTAGAGTATCCAACCCGTCCCAGGTACGACTTGTCCTGGGGGAAGCGTGGCGTTCCGACACCAGGTAGGTCCCAGAATACCAGCTGCTCATTGTAGGGGTGGCAGTACTTAGTTGGTTCCCGTGTCACGTCTCCTGTCCCCACAGGCGCACTGCCTTCATCATCTGCAGTCAGACCACGGATGCTGTTGATGAAGGATGACTTCCCCACGGCCGCCTCGCCTACAAGAGCTATTGATAATGGGACATTTCGCCAGTCCCTCATTTTATTTTGTACTATTCCTGGTAAGCCGCTCAACCCATGTTTGTCAACGTGGCGGCGGATTTCGTCAATCTCAGCTTGAGTTATGTCTTCGTAAGCATTGTCACCCATCTGCAAAATAGTCATATTGCCTTTTGTCAATATCAGAAGTATGCAATTCATTTAAACAACGCCGCCTGATGTTATTCACATTGACTCCTATCATCATCAAGTTTATTACACACTCGATCACTGCTTTGTCAGTAATCATTAACGCAGCCTGGTAGTCACACTTTTCAATGAAACAAATAAAAATACGACAATAACTGCTCCTGTGAATACGTTCTATCATACGCATCTTGATATATCCAAAATAATAATCAAATATTCAATATAATATCAGTTGCTTGACTCCTGTCATGTACGTATGTGTGATGATGTGAAGGGTTAAGGTTGAGAATGAGAAGCCTTATAAAGCCACCCAAAAACAACGGCATAGAGTGAGGTGAGGTGAAATGGGGTTTAACGTCGCGTCCAAGATTATTGCACGTATATAGCGACGTGCATGCACGTGTGTGTGTGTGTGTGTGGCTGCTTGTACTAGTCCGGACTGATGCCGATCTATAGTGCTAGCTCACTGAGATACCATGCCTCAGTTTACCATGAATACCCCGCTCAGACACAGTATACTGACTCCGAGCCGACCAGTCCTTGTTTTAGCCCCTTAATGCCGAGCGCCAGACAGGGTAACAACAAGTACCATCTTTAAACGTCTTTTGGTATGACGCGGTCGGGGATCGAACCCCGGACCTTCCACTCTCCAGCCGGACGCTCTACCACTAGACAACGGAGGCGGTCGGCATAGAGTGACTCCCATTAAAATATCACAAAGAAGCAAAGTATATTGATAAGGCAGGTTAAAATAGAAATATCCAACATAAAAATTCACGTTGGTTCACAATGAAACAAATACTTGGCATATATCCCCGTGTGATATCAACTCACATTCACAAGTGCAGCTGACAGCCGAGCCGTGTAACAGGTCACTGCAACTTCCTGCTTTCACAACTAACTGGGCTGGTTCCGGTCTGATAAGTTAACAGTAACCGTCTGCGCTGTGAGGAAAGATCGTAGGGTTGGATTCCAGTTACAGTTGATATACCTTTTGACTGAAAAACAAACAATCGTTAAGCATAACATCATAGTTATCTGTCATAAATGAAAGAAACATTATAGCAGCGTTCCATGCTTAAGTTGCAGTCCTCAGCCAAGCTTCAATGCCTAAATGTCGATGTTAACCGTACATCATACTGTCATTTACTGCCATGAGAAATCTAAATCATCAGTGTTCATTTATAAGTTTACAAAGTGACATCTAAATTTCTATGTTCGATTACTTCAGTGCATGTATGCAACTTGTGCCCAGCATTCATCCTATGTCATTCGTTGTGATTGACCATCTATAGAAATGCCAAGTTTATGTCATTTTCTAACTTCAATTTAATGTCACGCCATGAAACTCTACTTTGTTATATGTGTCATCATTTTATGTTATTTCTTCCTTGTAGCAGCATGTACAATGTGATATGTATTTGGAGTTCAAGATGAAACACAACTGTTGTGCTGTAAAAACCTTGAAACATGAATTCCAAGTAAACATTGTGTATTACCGTTACTGGACGTGAACGTGTTTATATTGATATTGTTTAATGCTGCTATGGTGATTATCCATTGCTTGTGGTACGCGCGCACAGAGGAGGATAGAGTTGATACAATGTATGACCTGGTTGATTGTGTGTATTCGTACCCGGCTTGGATCTTTGCTCATGCTTTCAGTCATTACTTTGACGCGGGTATTTGCAGGCTGATGCGATGAAGCAGATTTACTTTGGTGTGAGAGAGTTATAAGGCGGCAGATGACATTTATGGGTTATTGATGACAAGTGTAAGACAATATACGCAAGGGTGCTCCCGACAGCTTCTGCGTCAGTACCTTGAGTCCCTTGATGTGAGGTATATGTAGTGCATGCTGGTAATACAGAGACATGATGACACACAACACGAGTGGAAAGATGGAATATTTTATTTCCTGAGCCACTGATAGAACACATGAACAGTTTGTGTCGTGTAAATGGACTATTTTAGGGCGTTGTTTGTGTGAAAAACTCTGTAAAGATACTCTCATACTCTATCTGACTGACCAGGGTAAGACATATATGAATCAGTGATCATCGGATCCTGTAGCGATTAAGGGAATCAACTCTGTCAGCTTGACCTACCATGACCTGAACCATATATGTAATAAAAACGTTTCTCTGACCAAAATACAAATGCAGTTTTAGTCAAACAAATGGCATATGAAAGTTTCAGTATGAAAAACAAATAAAAACATCGAGGCCATTTTTCCTGTTTTATCACATAATGGATGGTGTTAGATACGGTGAACCAGTACGATAAATATGGAAATGAGGTGAAGTAGTTTTAAGCTCCTTACATCGATGCCATGGTGCATCCTCAGTTAACTATGGCCTACGTCCTCAATAAGTTCAGATAGGGGTTTCAGGTGTGGATGTGGCTGTTGACAAGCATGACTGCAAATCATTAAACGCTCTACGATACATACGACCCGTGAAGATCCGGGGTAGAATAGGTCTTCAGCAACCCATACTTGCCGTAAAAGGCGACTATGATTGTCGTAATCGGGTGGTCAGGCTCGCTGACTTGGTTGATGCATGTCATCGTATCCCATGATATCAATCACTAGATTGTCTGGTCCAAACTCGATTATTTACAGACCGCCGTCATACAGCTGGAATATTGCTGAGTGCGGTGCTAAACAACCAACAAACAAACAACGATACATACATGGGGTGGTCCACTCAAATACAATACACGACGTCTAAAATTATTTCACTGAGTTAAGCAGCTTCATAAACATCGATTATTTTGAGAATTTCATGAAATGACAAATATATTCTTTCCCTCGCGTGTTTCCGTATGAAGGCTCGCGTGATACAATCTTCCTGATATATAATATCTGTGATAGGTGAAACACACTCGGCTAATAATCTCTTTCTATTAAACCAACAGTACTTCCAGTCATATGGATTTAACTATACAATACAACCAGGAGGAAGCACGATCAGTGTAAACAACGTCAATTACTGCAGCACACAGAACTTTTCTAGAAAAGGTCTTGTTGCTCGACCAGTGTTTTGAAGCCTTCGTTTGACGATGTCTCTGTGAGACTCTAGGGAGAAGTTGGCGCCATCTGCCACAAGACTCCTGAGGGTTGGTAGGTCGTGGCCCTCGGGCTCCCTACAGCTGACCAGGAAGACTGGCACGTCAGGGAAACAGTCCTCGATCTTCTTCCTGATGGCCTCTTTTTCATTATCTTCATTGAATGTTCTTGGGTGTGCCTTTTTCTGATTTTTTAGGTCACGGTCGATCTTCGTCCTGACATAGAAGTAGCGTTTCCCCTGTTTCGCAATAGCGCTGTGAAGAAGAAGTTCCGTCTCCTCAATTTTGGTACACGACACATGCACATAGAAATCGTAACTTTCAAAGTTAATCTTCTTCAGATAGTCCGGTCCATATGGGACCTTTTGGGTGTCATATCCGGGTACATCCCACAGCACAACATCCGATCCGGGGAGGTGATAGGGGTGGTCTTCAGACGTACACTCCACCACGCCAGTCCTGGCTGCGTATTCCTCCTTGTGTGGTAGACCAAGATAGGCATTAATAAAACTGGACTTGCCGTTGCCTGACTTGCCTATCACACCCACGTTATACAGACGTTGACTGGCAGTCTTGCCGCTGTCCTTGCCGCTGTCCTTGCCTCGTGTAGACATTGTCACTGAAACATCACAATGTCACACTTGCAGAACATGCAACACCGGCTCAGGCTAGCATACCTCCCAGTACAACACAGCGGGACACAGTACTACAGGGCACTACATGGTATTACACACTTCTGCCCAGTACTATACAGTACCACGCAGTACTACACTGTACCACAACAGAACACAGTACATGGTATTACACATTACTAAACAGTGCCACACAGTACTGCACAGTACCACACAGTACTTCACAGTACCACACAGTACTGCACAGTGCCACACAGTACTATACAGTACCACGCAGTACTACACTGTACCACACAGCAGAACACAGTACTACACAACACTACATGGTATTACACATTACTACACAGTGCCACACAGTGCCACACAGTACAAGACAGTACTGCACAGTGCTAGACAGTACCACACAGTGCCACACAGTACCACACAGTACCGCACAGTACCACACAGTGCCACTCAGTACATCACAGTACCAGACAGTGTCACACAGTGCCACGCAGTACCACACAGTGTCACACAGTGCCACACAGTACAACACAGTACCAGACAGTACCACACAGTACCACGCAGTGCCAGACAGTACCACACAGTATCACGCAGTGCCAGACAGTGCTACACATTACTGCACAGTGCCAGACAGTACTGCACAGTACCACACAGTACCACACAGTACCACGCAGTGCCAGACAGTACGTGGTAGGTGCCCGGTGATATTACCATATTACGGTGGTATCTAAGCAAATGGGGTGTATGCTGTCATCAACCTTAACTAAAACTTAAACTAGTCAACTAGTTAATATCCTTGTCAGAATACATAAACCGTGACAATAATGAAATGATGATGGTAATGCATAGGTTAATACGTTCATCTGACATTACATCAAGACCAGCTTTCGTGTGAAGATCACTTTTCACCCTGGTCTATCTGGGAAGCTTGACCACGGCGAGGTGATTAGTATTCTTGTCATTGTCATTTCCAATGTTTTCACATTTTATACTTTTATTGAACATTGTACTCTTTTGTGTACTGCTATTGTAATTGTTGTTGATGTGTAAACCTTGTTACTTGCATTGTGTAATACAATTGTTGAATTATACCATTTGTTGGTTTCATACTAAATCCTTTAACGTACTGAGTTCTGGGTTCAAATATTGTTTCATTTGTGTGTGTGTGTGTGTGTGTGTGTGTGTGTGTGCGTGTGCGCGTGTGTTTGTGTGTGGGTGTGTGTGCGTGCGTGTGCGTGTGTGTTTGTGTGTGTGTGTGCGTATTTTATAGTGCTACCCCAATGAGATACCATGCCGCAGTTTAACATGAATACCCCACTCAGACACAGTACACTGACTTCAAGCCCCTTAATGCCGAGCACCAGGCAGGGTAACAACAAGTACCATAGTTTAAAGTCTTTTGGCTTGCCGTGGCAAGGGATCGAAGCCCGGACCTTCCGCTCTCCGGGCGGACGCTCTACCACTAGACCACGGAGGCGGTCAGTTGAACTCTCATACTCATACGCAGATGTGTGGTACAAACATACACAACGCATATGATAATTATGTTGCAGTATATCGGTGTGTCTCCCTAAAGGAACAACAGCCAGGCTAATTCAATGCTTTTCGTGAGAGGCGACTATCGGGATCGGGTGGTCAGGCTCGCTGACTTGGTTGATTGATGTCATCGTATCCCAGTTGCGTGGATCGATGCTCATGAGGTCAATCACTGGATTGTCTGGTCCATACTCGACTATTTACTTTCCGCCGTCATATAACTGGAATGTTGCTGAGTGCTGCGCTAAACAACAAACCAACAAACTGTGACTTTTATGTTTCTATTCTAGAGTGTTTCTATTACAGTTTGTGATACTAGTATGTGACTCACTGCATATCCCAAAGTACTTATCAATGTATTATAAAAGAATGGATTAAATATCACATGAGGAGTGTATAATGGACCATAAATCCACTGATAGCCAAGAGAATCATCAATATATCATGTCACAGGTACCCGAGACGTCAAGCAGATGTCAACAGTGTGGAATACTCCCAGGTAGCGCTAACCACGTGTCTAATACAGCAATTCAATGTCAAACGTATATCATGCTTTCAGGTACATGTACCAAGTGTCTCGCATTGCAAGTTATTGTCACTACTGTGAAATACTTCAGCTTCGTGTAAATTCGTCTGACACAAACGGTGAATGAAAACAAGGTCCTGAGGACTAGACCCCTGAGGTTGTCTGACCGATTAATGTTTCGGGTCCGAGTGTCCTTGTTTATGCATATTGACCTCGTCAAGAGTAATCATTCGATTTATTAAACCGAAATTCACTTTAAAATTTATGAAACCTTTAAACCGTCCTCTGTTTCATTATAAATTATTAACTTAGCTGCGACCTGTAAAATGTGAGTATCAGACGCCATCTTGTTTTCTAGCAGACGAGTCAATATTCATCACGTGACATGTCAATACTTGTGATGAGGTCAGTGTTAGGTTAGTCACATGATTTGGGGTATGTCTACATTGAAATATGATGTTTCGTCACGTGGTTCGGATTAACCAATGGAATTGCAAGATTGTACAGCATGTCTGACACGGAAAGTCCGCGTACTGTAAACACAGCCCACGTTGCTGTCTGCAGTGAACGTTTAAAAATCAATGTGTGTTTCATACCAGTGTTATTCTACACGATCGATGCCATACGCGGCATATGCTGCGCAGGAGCCAAGGTTTCAATAACATTGATGTTTAGTAATTCATCATACCATGTGTATGAGTGGAACGACTGACTACATAACGACACACAGTTTTGCCTGTTTACACAGACCGGCCACTCATGATTGTGTCTGTCATTATCATACAGTGAACAGCCTCAAAAGGCAACACAATATATCACAATATTAACATGGGGAAAGTGGGCAAAGTTTTACAAATATGCTACACGACCATGAATTATCACCGGCGAATGAATAATTAGGACAGCATGTTTCGTGTTTGCAAGCAGGGGGGATTTCAGCCTCTGTCCCGCGAAGATTGGTGTTATTGTGGCAAGTTGCACCAGCCGGACCCGTCTGATTGTTAAGGTCTCATGAACATTATGACATATATATACTCGATATTTTGATCGGACAAGTAGTGGATAGCCTTAGTGTCAGAGCATATGAAAGAATATAATGTTTCCTTACCAGTCAGTCGCGATCGTCTCCGAGCTGCGTGCATATGTAGGTCGCCTAAACCGTGCGTGCTATATATATACGCTTATGCCTTGGATTTCCCGAGAATTCAATCAATTCCTGTTCTAAGTATGTTTCGTTTTCGGGGAATAGGCTTACTCATTCTAAATCGACACGCACTCACTCATGTGTACGATAACGTTATCTTACCCGAAAAACACTATTTTGAGCTATGATGTTATGACAGATTACATGTCCTTATCAAATTAACATTATTTTCAAGAGGGAAATATAATCCGTAATTAACCTTGTCGAATAGAATAATTTTATTATCATCCAAATAAATCCTATGTTATCTTCTCGTTTTCACGCTGTTATTATAAGACTGAGATAAGAAACTTTCAGTTATTGCGGGGATCTGTCAGTGTGAGAAAAATCAGCGAGGCGTCACGAGAGCGATATTCGCTTGGCTTTGGTCCAAAATCAAGGACATATGCGGAAGGGTTCATGTGATCGGTATTGAGTTTAGTTTGAATTCATAATCTACAATCTTATCCCTCCAAAATAAAAAAATGAACTGAAAAACTTTATAACTGACGGCGTAGTGCCTTGTCAAAGAATGGTTATATTAGAATTTGAGAAATCTGTTTAAGTGAGAAAACGTGTGCTGACATTGTTGTTTGTATTCTTTTTACCATAAAACAATAATTATTAGGAAGTTACCGTCTGCTTATCTGCATATATCTTGTTATTAGCAAAGGTATAACCTTGCTAAATCGAAAAAGCATAACATTGTTCAAACAACGCGCGCATGCGTAATGGTCGAAGTTCTCCCTTTATACAGAAGACCGTCAGCTTTGTATTAAATGTAATCAACTCCCAATAATAAACGATTATATTCGCAGTTTTGTTTCTTTGTTTGTTTATTGTTTAACGCCGCACCGATCAACACTCCAGTTAAATGACGGCGGACTGTAAATAATCGAGTCTAGACCAGACAATCCAGTGATTGAGATCATGAGCATCGATCCACGCAATCAACCAAGTCAGCGAGCCTGACCACCCGATCCCGTTAGTCGCCTCTTACGACAAACATACTCGCAGTTGACTGTACAACTTGATTTTTTTAATAACATAATTCAGTTGACAATAAAATGGATGAATTTTATAGCCGTGTGCAATTACAAGGACAAACTTTTATCGTGTTTTATCAGTTTGTGATGACGCTGACGTCAAGAACCTGAACTCCAACCATCTATCGTCAGTCTGGAATACCTCCCAAACTCCCATCACTAATATCGCTAAACTTCAATATTTTTCACACAAGCAGATACTTATTTTACGTTTTTTTTTAATAATACATGACTTTATCGTTGGAGAGATAGATACTTTTGAAATAATTATTATGAATACAAACTTTTTTCGCACCACAAACATGTATCATTGACAGGAACCGCATGTATCTGGTATTACAATTGTGTTATTTTGAATGTTCATTGAAGAGGAGATTTCTATACGACAAAATTGTATTTTTGTATATAGACAAGGATGCTGGAGACATAATACATCTTTAAATTTAATGGGACCAGTTGGTCGTAATGCGCACGTGACATTTACCTCTGAACGCTTCTTAAAAGATAACATAATTGTCACTATTTTAGACAATAATTGAGTTGGCATATATTCCCTCTCTGAACATACAAACAAAAAATACTGTTTTCTAGTCGCATTGCCGTCACCATATTGTATTATTCATGTTCAAAAGTTGCGGGGGCGGCCCTAGTGGTTAAAGCGTTCGCTCGTCATGCCGAAGACCCGGGTTCGATTCCCAACATGGGTACAATGTGTGAAGCCCATTTCTGGTGTCCCCCGCCGTGATATTGCTGGAATATTGCTAAAAGCGGCGTAAAACCATACTCACTCACTCACACAAAAGTTGCGTCCCATGAACCTCCACGGGAAGCCTGGTCGGAGCATATGTGGGGCAGAAAGAAACAGATCGCGATCGCTGTTACGCTGTGAGTAATGATGAAAGGTGCCCGATGAAGCGAACATAAAATATTGCTTTCATTGCATGCTCTGCAGCGTCTCTGTCCTCACTTCATGCTGCATAAAAGTGCGTCCGACTATGTGGTACCTTGATGATACCTCTAAACAATTTCAATTTTAAAGGCTTTAATGGACAGATTTCATTATTATTACAGCCCATACGTAACAATTAAGTCTTTTTTCACTCATATAGCACATAAAAAATCATGCATATTTTTACATACACTTTATTTTAGCTGATTCCTCCTTAACCATGTGGTCCTTTTACCGGTTCCCTTCCCGATGAATCTAAAATAGTTCTAATTCTGTATTAAAACAAAATATCATAAGTAACTTCTGTGTAAATCCTGAAAGACCGAGGTGGAGTTGTGCTGGCTTCTTGTTGGCTCTCCTCCCCACTGGCATACGTCCCCCTTCGTAATGATATCTAAAAGGGTTCTCCGCTCTGAGTTTCTTTAATTCCCGCCTCTGGTCACCTTCCCGAGGCAAGGGAGTTAACTGACTTTAAAAGTCCAGTTTCCACCCTTGCCGAACTAGGCTGGAATTACTGGGCTCGATCGTAGCGCCACCAGTGGCTATTACCAGTTATGTCCCTTCTAAGCCTCTCCTATGGACCAATCAGATTCCACCCCTCGTATCACTTGCGTTTGGGTAACTCTCTTGCCTCGGGAAGATGGCCTCTGGTGGAGTGTCAGATAATTGGCTACACCTATCCCTCTCTGTTACAGTATCCGTCTCATAGTAAGAGTCTGCATTCTCCAAGTGAGACAATAAGAGGCATTGTTTTATTCGGGGGTTAAGCTGAATTCTTTCAATGTCTATTGATACAAGAGGAGGACATGTTTTCGTGGCTTTTCAAGCAGTGTTATGTGTCTCTATGTTACTCTGTCGTCACGTACTCTGTTGGCGTCATTTGGACCCGCGGAAACTCAACAGCACGCCATAATTTTCCCTGCTACGACGTGCTTCATTTTTAATACGTACCTCCAAGTCATAAAGGTAGCTATCCATCGTTTATGATTTGTCATGTCAAACTAGTTGCCTATCCTAATGATTTCAAGGTCTTCCTTATTTGTAGCAACATCTTGTCTGATTTCACATAACATTTGATAGACCTGACTTCCTCCCTCATTGCGCTAGTCTCTTTATGCAGTCTATGTTCTAAATCCCTGATCTGATCTGGTTATAACAAGTTTCAGTTCACGTAATTCTGTAGGCCCTGGGTTAAACTCAACATCTCCCGCATTGACAATAAGAAAATGGACAAACGGATATGCAGCAAGTGACTTGGTCTTTTCAATACAAATATCCCCCACCTATGTCAAATAATAACATGAAATTACATACGCAGTATTATTACTGAAACAACACGAATTCGGCTAAACGTTTGGACCTTATTTTAATGTGTAATGATTGTAATTGTTCCTTATCCAATATACTTGATTTAAATTCCGATGTGAGTGAGTGAATGAGTGAGTGAGTGAATGAGTGAATGAGCGTCACATCGGCAGTATTTCTGCCATATCGTGACGAGCCGATGTATCGGACTACAGAGGGGTTTTCGTTTCCGTCAATGTATATTCTAACACAATAAAGTATCGCTCTACAAACAGGCTAATTTCCATAAAATGAATATGTAAATTATGCGGTATTTAACGAATGTAAAAGCGTAAATGGACTGTGTGAAAAATTTCCACTCTCATATGAAAGATTATGATTTCGCCACTTACAAAAGGCAAAGAAACACATTTAGAAATAAGAAAAATATATACTTTTGTTTGTTTGTTGTTTTTTACGCCGCACTCAGGAATATTCCAGCAAATACAACTGTGTAAGTGAAACAGTTTCCGTAAGTAATAGCTACAAAAAAGGTAGAGATCAGTAATCCAGTTAATGTCACCCATGGATCTATTTTGCTCTCGCCTTACTTGTTCAATACATTATTAGTAGGAGCAAAGTAATGATCTCGAGCAAAATATAGTATCATGTCATGTCTCTGTGCGTGCGTGCATGCGTGCATGCGTGTGTACTCGTCCCGACTAATGCATATTTTATATATTTATTTTAAATAACTGGTTTTGCGAAGTTTTGTTATATCATGCTTTTGGACGAATATAATGTTTAAACTCGGAAACGATTCTGTCCAAAGATTATCATTTCTTATAAACTAAAGCGGGAAGTATCATTTGCGATGGGCAGTTTTATACATAACAATATGGCGATATGTCCACATGAGGATTTTATATTCGACATTATTAAATAATGAGTAAAATGTGAATTCATAGTAGACCAACTGTGTAGATGCCCGTATCGTTTGGAATTCAAAGTCAGTGAAGGGCTTTTATAGAACACAAATACAATCAAAAAAGATTGATAAAACTTTTATAGCTCGACCAGAAGAGTAACGACCTTCAGAAGGTAGTAACAGGCGATTATTTCTAACAAAATACAATATACATTTTATACGCACGGATATATTCGTAAGATCCAAAATGGCCGCCGTGCCAGTTATATTCGTAAGATCCAAAATGGCCGCCGTTTGTTTACATATCGACTCGCTTTTACAGAGCGTCATTTATTAATGAAATAATTATCTACATACCTTAATACTTGGTAAGATGCCCTTTCATAGTCACAACTTTAGATATCCGGCGTGGAATAGATTCATAAAGGCCACGAATAAAGTCTAGCTCAATGTCCTGCCAAGTGATATGGATCGCTTCAAACAGCTGATCTTGGTTAGTGATGTCGTTTACGGTGTCCTGTAGTTTTTTCTTTAGGTTTAGCCAAACATTTTCTATAACATTTAAATCCGGTGATTCTGCTGGCCAATCCACCGTGTTTATGGCATTGTCGGCGATGAATTTTTTCACAATATTTGCCCTATGAACGGCGCATCGTCGTCTTGAAATATATAGTTATTGTCTGGAAAATGTCTACAAATTACTGGCCACAAATTATTGTCCACAATTTCTATGTATTTCTGGACATTGATGTTACCATTTACACGCACCAAAGTCCCCACACCATGATAGCTGATACTCCCCCACACCATCAAACTCAACTTCCTTGTTCGAGGGGGACACACGCACTCGGGTCGATCGGCTTCATTTTCCTTTCTCCAAATGTATACACGATTTTTATTTCCAATAACCACCTGACTCTCATCAGTAAAGATTACATTTTTCCAAAAATCATTGACAGTTTTTTTTCCTCATACTCCGACGCCACAAGACATGTTTTCTTCTGTTCATCCCCCTAACAACCATCTTTTTTCGTGATGCGCCTGTAAAATCCTTCTCGGTGTAATTCCCTTTGAATTATTCTTTTCGAGACAGGTTGGTCTCTCACCGAATTGAAATTACCAGTGATGTCCTTCAAAGGTCTCTGTCTATTATTTTTAACGAGTCTGAACAGCGCGGCAGGATCTCTGTCTGAAAACTTTTGTTTTGTCTAGCTTGTCTCGGGATGTTTTCTACCGAACCCGTTCGCTGAACTTCAGCAAAAATACTACTCAAGTAGACTTGGGAACCCCCCAACAGGTCAGTAATCGCTTGATAACTTTCCCCCTCTTCTTTTAACTTTAACGCTATTCTTTTCACATCACTTCTCAATTCCTTAGATTTTCTCCCGATGTTTGCACTGATTATCGTATGTTTTGATCAAAACAGCAGACGACACTGTGAAGGACATCACGTGACGGTCACGTGATCAAAGTGACGTCATGTCAAATTTAACATGGTTCCGAGCATTATTGACGCTACGCGAAACATTTTTGTGCTCGTAAAATATTTGACGGTTATAAACCGTAATGGATCGTACGAATATAACTGGCGCGGCACTGTAGCATAAATATAAAACAAAAAATAGAGTATTTCGCTCTCCAACTAATGCTTAAATCCCCGTGCAGTGTAGTATGTACATACATTGTCAGCCTCTTATCTGTTATAAGAACAGTCAATGTGTTTTTGAGCTGCTTTGAAAAGTATGTCATTGATATGAGGACATGTGTAATTCCTGTGGATTAAGTCCTGACAGAGCCAGGATTGTAATCGGGTGAAATGGTAGCAGTGATCCTGGAGTACCTGGGCCAGGCAACGTAGCATGAAACGCAACTGACTAATTGCTTCCTGGAATCTCGACCCGACTCATGGGGTTATCAATCACTGATTTGTCTCGTCCACGGTCAATTATGTACAGGCCGAGCATATGTCACCATATGATCATATTGTGCGTGATTAGCCAGTGATCAGCCAAAGTGCCATTAGTAATAAGTTTGCGTGGTGAAAAGATTGCCTAAATGGTTTTTAAAGTCCCGATGGTATTATTGGAATTAAGGCTATCGTTAGGTTACAGTTGTATCAAGTCAAATATTTTGAAAAGTGCGGAAGTAATTTTTATTACAACAGCATGGTCTTTTTCATTGAAGTATTGTGTTCATTAATCAAATCCTTAAAAATAGCGACTGTTCTCCAAGTCCTTCCAGTTTAGGTCCAGACGTTGTTATAAAATCTTGAACGTCATTGATTGATTTGCTCCAAGAATGGTGCACACTACGATTTTGAATTGCGTGGGTTTGAATGAAATAATGCGGAGATTAATAGGCTGAAACCGAGTTACACTTTACTTAAAACCATGGGATACAGAGTGTGACATGATAGTTTGAACACGTTGCCTTGAACGTCTACAATACATAGTTACCATGTATTTTACTTGGAGGAGATGCTGCTGGAGGACACTACGTATGTGTTTCACACAGGTATTTCACACAAGGACTGGCGTACCCAATAGCAAGAATAGCCCCCGATTAACAACTTATATATGTATGCACAATTCCCAGAGAAGAGGTCAGTTTTTCCGGGTATGTAGGTCGAACCGTCAGTCCAGACTTTGGAGCCACCATCAGATTTCAGACCAATATACGCTGCAAAAAAAGGTACACCGTTAACACATCTTGAAACAGATTCACAAAACACACTTTTTTATCTGCAATACCTCATTGTCACGTGGTGAGTTGGTGAGGGGCTGTAGAAAAACTTGAACTTGATCACTCATTTAAAATCTCTTGATTATCAAAATTGTTTACCAGAGATGGACTCTTTGAACAAACAAACAGTTCATGTACGTGTATGAGGCTGTGGAGGTTCATCATGGGTTTGACTGAGAGGCCGGATAGGTTCACAAGGAAGGGGGGGTGGGGGGGTGGGGGGGGGTGGGGGGGGTGGGTGGGGGGGGTTAAACCTCTTTTTATGTAAATCAAAACAAGTTAAATATTTCTCCATAATAATAATTATCTAACTTGCAATCGCCTATTTAAATGACAACATATTTACGAGCTAGGTCAGGCGACACTTGAGTCAGAATGTAGGCGTGTTTCTCGATTGTGTTGAGGATGATCAGGCGGCCGCCTTCACTCTCACATCGGGCCTGACTGTCTGTCCAGTTCATGGTGGTCATGTAAAGCTTGTAACACAGGCGTGGGGACAGCACTGACGTGTAGCCTTGAGACACGGGGCATGGGTCTGGATGTGGCAGAGCTGAGGATATAGACAGTGCTAGATCAGTGCTAGATCATAACTTATGACTAGATAGTATGAATGAGCAACTTTTTTCAATTTGACTGCAGTATTTGAGTCACCAACCGGAACGAACGTTTATTACGGAAGTTGTCGAACAAAAAACGTTCCACGTATGCGCACTTCGTTATTTATGGTCGAAGCGAGAGGATTTGTAGGCCGAAATTTGTTCTACAATACCGAACGCTGTCGAAAGTTTAAAGGAAAAAACGTCGGATGGTGGTGAACATTTAAGGTAGAAACGGGGTAAAGGGCGTTGGATTTGCTCAAATAAATCGCACTATGATAAGTTCATTCATGAATGCATATGCATATTCATGGTATGTTTCCTTACTCACTTAATCAAACAGATCCAGTGAGGCGTTGAATTCTGATTCAGCTGACGCTGATTGATCGAAAGATCTGTTGATCCATCCATTTCCTCATTTTCTTTATCTGAGTCAGGTGCACGCACTGGACTGTAAACACGGCTGATGAACTTAAGAAACTGAATAAAAGGATCATACAATCCTTTATTCGTGCCATATCTAGGCAAGATGCCTTCACCACTCTCCAAGTTGATTCTATTTTATTTGTACATGCCCCTGTTTCTGAATTTACAAATTCTACACTGTGGTTAACTTTTTATGTATGTGCCCCATCCCCTCCAAAGAGTCCAAACAGTCATAAGCCTTCCAACCGTCCAAATGAATGATTGATCCCGGTTTAATCTATCTTTTAATAAGTGGGATCAATGTTTCGCAATTTCGTTTCTCACCAACAGTGATAAACATCTTGCTAGAATTTGTTTCATTCCCACCAAACACCAAAACACCACCCACTCTCCTCCCCTTGTGAAACTTTCTTTTCCAAAATTTTGATTCTTCAATTTCTACTTCTACCCCAGGTCCCCCAATAGAGTCATTCTCTCCTTCCAAAATTTTCAAACAAACCTCCCTGTACCAATCAACCAAAGTGTGATCAGAACCAAGCTTCAACTGAACTTTAACAAAATCTTCTCTAGACCTGTAAACCAAATAAAAAGTAATTTTCAAAATGTCAGGAATGGACAAGTTAGAATCATAAAACCAGGAAGAATGCTTCACTGAAATCTTATGGCGATACCTCTTGCTGCTACACCGACACACATGCCCCTCCCTCCTACTGCTGTCCCTCCTCCTGCTATTCACACCATTCTCACACTTACAGCAAGGCCCCAAAACTGTCCTATCATGTCTACATCCTCTAACCAGTCCAAAAGTCTCCCCTTATCCCTGCACAATTCATACAAATTATCATACACAATCCTACTGTCAGACATTCTTGAAAAGTAATTGAAAAAAGTGACAAAAATTAGAAGTCTTGCCAGCTGTGCAAAGTACTACGAGGGTAGTGGCGTTCGAAGTGACGTGTCCATATGAGAAATGTCACATGATCAGACACAAATGATCCCGCCCACAAACAACACGGAGTCGACACCAAAACTCTCGGCCCCCTTATTTTTGAGGTCCTTTCCGCTTTTCGCTCAAAAATGCCTCCTAACGGAATTTAGCACGCTAGCGCGTGCGCACATTTATATATGCGAAGATGCCGAATGCAGCGGTTTCCTTACGGAAACGCCCGAAGTGGGGTCCCAACTACTGCAGTTGACCTATTGTAGCTGTATTTGATCAGTTGATTTGAAGCCGTTGATCATGTACACCACCTTGTTGTCAGATACAATGTTACGATTGTAATATAGAAGCTGACCATGTATACCCTCTTGCCCTGGGTTACATATGATGCTCAAAGATAGTGCTAGATCATGACAAAAATATATCCCGATTATTTTGTTCAACCACACGACAAATACATGGTACAAATCCAGACACGATTACATTATCTTTGCATTTGTTTAAATCGGTTGACAGGATGTGCTGATGCCATCGTTCTTTGATAGGAATTCATCAACACAAACCAATAGTACAGTCTGAATTGTATACTGACTCAGTGGTTCACATGGATTGTGTACTAATACACAAATAAACAAATATGACGCGTCAACCTTATTATTATGACAAATATGTAGAGTGAGCTGATTTTTGTGTGTGTGCAACGTATTCTAGGAAAAAGATAAAAATGGCATATCAATCATGTTGAGTCCAAATCATGATGCCCTGAACGAATTTGATTTGAAGTATCATTAATACATTTCACACAAGATGGGCAAAGATGACATTGACAATATGGCTACAATAATTATCACTACTACTTTGACTATTTTCAATATCTGGCGTTACTCTAACAAACTTTCATCGCAATATGCCTTGCAGTGAAAGTTAACCTCAGATCGATGGACAACCAGACAATCGAATTGCAAACAACGCAGAATGACAAAAGATCACTTGACCTTGAGGTGACCCAAAAAAACACATACACCAAATATAAAATCAAGTCTATTATTTCTAACCTCCTTGCTTGATGAAACATCTGGCTCCGGGAAGGGAAACACCCGAGGGAGACAGGGATGATCTGTAGATGGAGCACTGATCACCATGATGCATCACAGCAACACAGGCCTCATCCCTGGCACAGACGGTGGTACAGTCAGGCATACTCTCCGACTGGTTGATGCTGGTCGGTGTCTCACTCGCCCTAAGGTTGTCCAGAGGGATGAGTCTTGCATACACATGTCTGGAAACCACAGAGTTCTTTGAGAACACCGCTTGAAAGAAGATGAAGGGGGTTATCAGCAGAATCATTCTTTGTTCTCTACTTCAGATAGAATCCTACATTGTGTGGTCAGTAACGGTTTTCCTCAAACACTACTTCCTAGCGCTGCGACTTCTACTCTTATAGTACTTGGATCAGCTGCATTGGCCAATCACGGGATCGAACGTAAACGCATGAGTGGCAAACACATTATTTCCGTCACATCACTTTAGACTTTCCTCCCACATGAAGCTGACTCGACTTGATATAAGGGACACTCTTGATATAAGGCACCTTGAGAAGGATTGTTTTAACCCGCTAAGGTTCGGACATATTCATTGGCTGGTATATGGAATACGTAATTTTACGCAAGACAGATATGAAAAGACAGTTAAAATAAATATTATTACAAATACATTCTTGCAGACATGTCCAGACATAAGAATAGATAATTATAACGGGTTAAAGAAAATTTCTGCTGTAGGATGTGCCACAACCACCACTCATTTTATAATTACGTTACAGCATGAGTGACTGTTAAATAGTCTCGTGAATAGTAAATGATACAAACGTTAAGCTTCAATTACCTTATATTTTTCTTTCACCCCCCTACATCGATTCAACAAGGATTCAATCCATAAATCCAATGATTGGCTTACCATGAAGTTATTAAGCCTCTACTTTCTTATTTGAACAATGGTTTCTCGCAGAAAATAGTTCTTGTATTCACTAACGAGGATTTTTTTCAAACTTGTTTGTATTGACAGGATTTCTTAGAGCAGGACCTTTGTATTCTAGGAGTCCACACCTTGATGTAACGTTGGAGCAAGAAGGCTCTAATATTAGTAGTACGTACGTGGTACAAAATCAATAACTACTCATCTTCATACAAAGTCTTGGCTTATTGTGTTCAGAGCAAATCTTCTTCAGTAAAAACGTAATGATCTAATGTAGATATATCGGAATTAAAGTAATCTGTCACAACACAGGTGTGTATTAGAGAGGGAGAGAGAGAGAGTGTGTATTGCAGTTAAGGGGCCACCGGCCCTTTATACATTGATGATACATTGATGTCTGTTTCGTAAGAACGCCATGCTGTTCTTTACAGTAATCTTAGTTGTTTACATTGCATTTTCATAGCAAGAAACTTGGTGTGTTGATATTACTAGCTGCACAAACTTAGCATAAGTCGGGTTTACAATGTAATATTTGGGCAATATATTTCTCAAATGATTACAATATGGACAAATCATACAAAAGTGAAATTCTGCTTCTATACATGGCACAAACACAAATCACACAAAGTGGACTAAACCTTTAATCTTCTGCCTTCTATCACTAACCTGTGATTAGAACATCCAAACTTTGTCAAAGCAATTCTATATATAGGAATTGTTACAATTGATAAATATTCTTCAAAGATAAAACAACTTCTTTATCAATGCCCCATACATATCAAGCTAAGAGTCAACCATATTTGATTAACTATTGCAATGCATCTTTTTTCAAAAGCAGTCATATATAAAGAATTAATACAACCAACATCCTGGTTTTGCAAAACATATCCATATTCGTATTCATACAGTAAACACTTTGCATTGTTAGCCCAACATCGTCTGCCAAGTTCTGCTAACCGATATTGAAAACAACATACTCGAGATAAATACTATTTCCTTTTGGTATGATAATCTAATCCGATATTTAATTATCTTCAGATATTTTTTTTGTTTTAAAAGAACAAAGTGCCAAGTTCACCCTTAGCTACACTATTGGGTGAATTTCAGAATTTGTTTATAGAAATTATCATAAAAAAGGAACAGTATCGGGTGGTGGATGAAAACCCAACATTTCAGAGCAATGTGAAAGAACTGGAAATAATTTTACATAACAAAATATGCAACAAAATTGACAATGACAGTGAACACTTTCATAGTTTGTAATGACATTTGTGTGTGTGTAACATACCATGAACCACGACATGAAACTTGTATATCAAGATATTTATATGAGGAAACAATTTCCATCTGGCTTTTATCAGAATACATTTTTTCATATTTTCTTAATCTACCACCTTTTCTGAAAACAATACTTTAGTTTGAATGATATTCACAGTGAGGTTCCATTTTCTGCAACACATAGACAAACCATTCAGCCTCGTTTGCAGACCTTTAACTGTATTATCAAATAATACCATGTCAATTGCAAACAGCAGCATAAAAATATGACAAAAACCCAAGTCAATACAGCGGTCTCCACCTGCAGGGGGGAATTCTACAGCATTTACTTAAAGTGAAAATAGAAGTGGAGATAGTTGACAACCTTGATTTACACCGCTCAAAAAGTTAAAAAATTCAGTGTGTCCATCTGCCATAGAAATACATGATTTGACATATGACATATGTTTTAATAAGTTGGAAAGATCTTCCTTTCACATTATTCAATCAAAATTTATACAACATACTTTTACTATATATATAAACTCAAATGCAGCTTTAAGATCAACTAAGCAACAATAGTATCTACCTTTATATAAGGATGAATATTTTGTGTCAGCCGTATCAAGCACAAAAATCTAGAGTTTAAAACCCTTTTCGAAATCCGTATTATAAGAATTGACTTTCCTTTTGTGTGAGTTCATTTGTGTATGAACCTTCATAGACCAACTACAGTGTAGTTTGGCCCACACTCTATGAAGGTTCATACTCCAATGAACTCACACAAAGTGAAAGTCAATTCTTAATTAAACACAGCAACTGATCAATCAATACATGTCTTTGGTGCATATCTATAGCTAATTCCAACACACATCCAGTTGTGTTTGTCATCACATCTGTTATTGAATCTATAGCGTATTACAAACACAAAGGATGCTAGTGTAAATACACTCACTGACACTCATGAGTTATTTATGTGGAATATTAGCTTCAAATTACGTTTGAGATCTTTATTGTCATGCTTAGTTTATATTCAATATTTCCCTAGGATACGATTCTGAAACGTGTATGGAAGATACCCACAAGCCCATGATTGTCCTCACAATTGTTGAACCATTGTTGAACCATTCAAAGTCACATCAGTAACATGTCAACGATTTTGTGACTTCAGCATGTGAAACAACTTAATTATATTAAGACCTGTTCTGTCATCACAATGCAATAGCTAGAATCATATAACATTTTCTACTTTTAGAACTACTTTGAGAACATAAAATTAACCAATTTATTATTAAACAAGGATTGCATAAATTTCGGGCTATGGGTGTGATGACACCAAACTAGCGATGATAACTTCACACTGCTTCAACTCCCTGCGAGTATACCACAATTTCATTCTCAGTGCCTAAACACACATTTACACCACCAGGTGTTAAAATCTTGATTTATTTTGTAAAAAGTGTGTTAATAATTTATGAATCAACTGTTTAAATCAAAACAAATATTAAAAGTAAGTCTCAAGTTGAAATGTCCTTAAGAGGTGATGCTTTGAACACAGTTGAGCAAGTCATTATTTCGGCTTTCAACAGAAAAGCCATGTCTACCTACTATGCATACTTCTTTGTCATTAGTTCTCTGGTAAACTATCTGTATCTGATGACAGGCGTATAATCAGTGTACGAATAGGAAGTGGTTCATGACAGGCGTATAATCACTGTACGAATAGGAAGTGGTTCATGACAGGCGTATAATCACTGTACGAATAGGAAGTGGTTCATGACAGGCGTATTATCATTGTATTGAATACGAAGTGGTTCATGACAGGCGTATTATTATTGTATTGAATACGAAGTGGTTCATGACAGGCGTATTATCACTGTATGGAATAGGAAGTGGTTCACGACAGGCGTATAATCACTGTATGAAAAGGAAAGTGGTTCATGACAGGCGTATAAGCACTGTATGGAATAGGAAGTGGTTCACGACAGGCGTGTGATCACTGTGTGGAATAGGAAGTGGTTCATGACAGGCGTATAATCACTGCATGGAATAGGAAGTGGTTCATGACAGGCGTATAATCACTGTATTGAATAGGAAGTGGTTCACGTCAGGCGTATGATCACTGTATGGAAAAGGAAGTGGTTCATGACAGACGTATAATCACTGTATGGAATACGAAGTGGTTGATGACATATGTATAATCACTGTATGGAATAGGAAGTGGTTCATGACAGGCGTATAATCACTGTATGGAATAGGAAGTGGTTCATGACAGACGTATAATCACTGTATGGAATACGAAGTGGTTGGTGACAGGCGTATAATCACTACATGGTATACGAAGGGGTTATTGACAGACTATAATCATTGTATGAAATAGAAAGTGGTTCATTACAGGCGTATAATCACTGTATGGAATAGGAAATGGTTCATGACAGGCGTACAATCACTGTATGGAATAGGAAGTGGTTCACGTCAGGCGTATGATCACTGTATGGAATAGGAAGTGGTTGATGACAGGCGTATGATCACTACATGGAATAGGTAGTGGTTCATGACAGACTATATAATTGTATGGAATAGAAAGTGGTTCATGACAGGCGTAAAATCACTGTATGGAATAGGAAGTGGTTCACGACAGGCGTATTATCACTGTGTGGAATAGGAAGTGGTTCATGACAAGTGTATAATCACTGTATGGAATAGGATGTGGTTCATGACAGGCGTATAATCACTGTATGGAATAGGAAGTGGCCCATTACAGGCGTACAATCATTGTAAGGAATAGGAAGTGGTGCATGACATGCGTATAATCACTGTCTGGAATAGGAAGTGGTTCACGACAGGCGTATAATCACTGTATGAAAAAGAAAGTGGTTCATGACAGGCGTATAAGCACTGTATGGAATAGGAAGTGGTTCACGACAGGCGTGTAATCACTGTGTGGAATGGGAAGTGGTTCATGACAGGCGTATAATCACTGCATGGAATAGGAAGTGGTTCATGACAGGCGTATAATCACTGTATGGAATACGAAGTGGTTCACGTCAGGCGTATGATCACTGTATGGAATAGGAAGTGGTTCATGACAGACGTGTAATCACTGTATGGAATACGAAGTGGTTGATGACATATGTATAATTACTGTATGGAATAGGAAGTGGTTCATGACAGGCGTATAATTACTGTATGGAATAGGAAGTGGTTCATGACAGACGTATAATCACTGTATGGAATACGAAGTGGTAGGTGACAGGCGTATAATCACTACATGGTATACGAAGGGGTTAATGACAGACTATAATCATTGTATGAAATAGAAAGTGGTTCATT